CCCCCCCCTTCATCAGGGTCCAGTATCTATCCTAGCTGCATCGCTATAATTAGCCTCATGACTGAGCAAGCTGCAGACCTCTCTTTTAATCTGTTAATCTGTAATGTTTTTGGATAATAAACAATTAAAGCAGTTTGGACTCTTTCACCATTTGGTTTGGCTCTCCGGTTGTATGTTGATGCTTTGAGTCACATTTTGGGTAGCCACTGGAGGCAGTGGTGTATCCAGGGTATGGCGCATGCCCTGGGTACCACTTGAAGGGGGAGGGGGGTGCACCTCTCCGTGGGTCAGCTAAAGTTTGCCAACACAGGGAGACAGATGACTTTTTTCTCTCCCACCCCACCCCCCAGGGGCGTCCCTACAATTTCCGCCACCTGAGGTGGGGGTGGGTTGGGTTGGGGGGACTGCTGATGGTGCACATTATGGGGGGGTGTTTGGGTGGTGACTTTGCTGGTTGCCAGGAGCTCGGTGGGACACCGGACAGAGGTTAAAGAGTTAGGGACAGGGGTGTGCCTACAATTTTCGCCAGGGGGTGGGGTGCTGATGGTGCATGTAATGGGGGTAGGTTGGTGTTGGCGCCGCACTTTACGGCCTCAGGCTGCCGCTTTTTAAGGACGGCCCAGCCTCTCCCATACACATCTCTCTCCGTCCAGTTCTTAAAAACCTGGGACCCTCTGGCCGGTGTCCCACCCAGCCACTGGGGAAACAGTGACATCACCGGTTACCAGGAGCTGGGCGTGATGCCGGGCAGAGCACCCTGGTTGCTAAAAGCCAAGTGGAGAGATGTGTATGGGAGAAGATGGGCCATCCCTTTAATGAGCTGGATGGGATTCCAGGGGTGCAATTTGTTTTAGATATGCCTCCGACTGGAGGGAAACCTTGTTTCATGTCTGATCATTGTAACATTACCATTGCTTGCTGGAAGCAATGCATGATGGGATATGAAGTCGTGAGAAAACTTGCTTCATCTAAGCAGCCTTACTAGAGCGAGTCAGCCCTTCCAGTGATTACCATCTCTTCATTTATTTCAATAAATAAGTGTTCGAATCTCAGCACCAGGAGCATCCCAAGGCTGGGTGACACCCCGCCGTGACGTCATCGCTCATGCACGGCCATCTTTTTTATGCCTGCTGGCGGCCATCTTGGTGATGGACGCCGGCAGAGAGAGGAGGGGAATTTTCACCCAGCAGGATGAGGTATGCCGCCGGGTCCCCTCCTCTCTCTTGACACTGTCGTGCTCTCGGTCCATGACGGAGTGCCTGACTTTTCAGAGGGGGTGACACCAAAATGACTGCCATTCATTTAGGTGTCACCCCTCCAATGGTG